TTCAATCGTTATGAGTCTCTACCGATTGAATAGAATTTTATTATAAACAATTGTCTTGTAAATGGAATTTTTAAAGCATTCTGAATGTTAAAAATAAAGAAAAAAATGTGCAAGACAATAAGAAACACTACCTGCGAAAAAATGTGAAGTTTTGTTGAAATCGGTCGAAAAATGTAGGAAATCTGATCCCATATATAAACGAACACACACACACACTAACAACCTGGGTTTTATAATAAGTATAACTCGAGTTGACCCCCTTTCATTCTCGTGATGAATCTTAATCGTGTTTTCAAATTGATTTCGTGCAAAAACAATTGTGTTTTTTCCAATTTTTGGCGCTGTTAGAACCACCGCAAGGTAATTTTACGTAGTCCTGTGAAGTTTTGTTGAAATCGGTTGAAATATGTAGGAAATCCGATCCAATATATAAACGTACAGACACACACACAACCTGGGTTTTATAATAAGTATGATGACAAAGACTCTTAATCAATCATAAGCATTATTGATGTGAAATTAGTAATTAACAAAACACTTAAAATATATCGGTGTATATATAGGTTATTATAAATTTAGTATGGAAGATAAGGAAACATAGAATAGGCTGTGCTAGCACCGAAATGACTACAAAAAAGCATGAACCAGAAAATTCGAATCATGTACTTAAATAGGTTCATCAGATCAAGAATTTCAAATAAATGTCATACATGATGCCAAACCGGTCCAGAAATATCTAAAATGCCTTCTGTGGGCAACCGCTTTCAAATATCAATCGTTCAAAATGACTTTAAGTGAGTAAAGTCCTGATGAAGACACCTGTACTAGTTCTTTGTTCGTGATTCTGTAGCACCAGTCCACGAGATTTCGATAAAGTGTTGAAACCACATCAATTGAGGACTTTCAAAAGCAGCAACAGCTAAAATGTGTCCCACATGTAACATGTAGAGAAAATAATGGCAAAATCAAGATGTTGATATTCCACACGACTTCAAATAAAAGGTTAGGAAGGAAATCGTGATTAATACCGGAAAGATCTATAACAGCCACTGGATTGAGAAATTTATTTTCCTGAAAAATTATTTTAAGAAAAAGATTTTATGAAATCCAACCGACAGTAGTATGACCTGCTTGATCAATGAATGCCAAATATTTCCTTTTTCGGAAGCGGATATTTTACAATTATCATTATCATTGTAATGAGGGAAATGATTAAAACACAATTAATTCCTCAGTACAATCACTAATGTCGGATATTTTTATTGATTATACATCCTTTCTTAATGCCAGGAACGATATAGGTTGTTTGAAACCTTTACATTTACCGTTTGTTCTGACTCCTATATTTGACTATTTGTGTTTTTAATTCATTGAATTAAATAACAAAATAGTAAGATTTCAATCTGTAGATATTATTGAGTAGCGGGGTCTGTAAACTGGTTTGCCGTACGATCCGGCTCGCAGGAATTTCAAATATTTATGAATGATTTGCCTGTGTTTTGTTTTCTCTTTTCGTCTGTAGTCAATTGATTAGTTTGTCAGAGCGAAGGTTTTTTTTTTTTTCCTCGTTAAAAATAATTTCTCATTGTCAGTAGTCCTTTGTTTGTAACTGTCATATTTTTCTTTTTTTTTTCTTTTGAATCATATGAAGCTAATTACCAAAAAGAGTTTCAAGTCAAAATTAAACATTTAAATAATAATAATAATAATAATAATGAGGAGAAGGAGGAGGATAGTAACTGCACAATACTCACAGACAGAAAAATCAAAGGTAAATATTACACTTTACAAAAACAGAATGTGCTTTTTTATTGACATGGCAGTTCCGGCAGACTGTAAGGTTTATTTGAAGATCTTGAACAAAATTATTAAAATACAAAGATCTTGAAGTAGAAAAAAAGAATACATGGCATATGAGGACATCAATAATTCCGGTTTGATTTGAAACGATTCCGATAAAACCACTGAAGGGATGCCTTGTAGCCTATGCCTTAAAGAAATACAAAATAATTTCTGAAAAAATACTCAGTGTATAAATCCCATGATGCCATTTCTAGCCTTAAATCTTTGGTTGGGACCCGGGAGTAAATTACGCCACAAAAGAAATTAAAAGCAATAATAATAATAATCGTCAGTCGTACATGCTAACAAATGTTTCCTTATAAGGCAACAGTTAATATTACTATTACCATTTGCACCATTTGTAAACTTTTTAAATTATTTTCTAAACATGTATACAATACAGAAGACAAGGTGGAGTAATGGATAGCGGCTGGGATTGAGAAATCGGAGAAGCTATTACATTCACTTAGGCGCTAATATAGTTGGGAAAGGTGTGGATCCTCTTCTTTCCCCCCAGTTATGGGTAAATAGCAGGACAAACCGGGTTCTATAGCTTGAATGGCAACTGGTCTACTGCAGAAAGAAATGGCATCCTACTGCGGGAAAAATCTGACACGTCAGTCATGTATCGAAAGATACATGATCGCCTAAGCGTGTATCACGCATGGTATATAAAATAGCAGAACAGACCGGGTTCTATAGCCTTGGATGGCAACTGGTCTACCGCAGCAAGAAATTGCAACCTACTGCGGGAAAAAAAATCTGACACGTCAGTCATGTATCGATAGATAGATGATCGCCTAAGTGTGAATCACGCATGACACATAAAATGGCAGGAGAGACCGGGTTCTATAAGGTTAGATGGCAACTGGTCTACCGCAGAAAGAAATGGCAACAGGAAGAAATGACAACCTACTGCGGGAAAAAATCTGACACATCAGTTATGTATCGAGAGATACATGATCGCATGGCACGTAACTGACATACAGTAGAGTACAGCACTAAACGGTAAAGATATCGAACAGTTATAAGATTCAAATCTAAATTCTTTACATCAATTGGGTTTGTATACTGCAAATTGAGAACAAGTTACTTTTACTTATTTTTCAGTATATTTGCCGTAAATCGCGAGGACAAGTCGAGCTGGTGTTCAAGTCGACCTGGTGTACAAATCGGTCTAAAGATTTTTAGTTGAACAATCTACGTTAGGCCTATACCGACCGTATAGGTCTACCCACAAACATACGGTAGCCTACCAGTTAAATCAAGTCAGGCTACAGTAAACGATAACCCGCACGAAAAGTAGATTAAGTTTAACTTGTATATTGAGACACTAACCATAATAAGTTTCTGCATGTGTTGTAAAACTAACAACCTATAAATCACACCGGTAGGTATTGTATATTGTATCAGTATAAATTAGTGTATCAGCTGTTGGGCGCGATTTGTGTTATAGCGTTAATATATTACTTTCTGTGTTACTTGTGTTCACTAAACAAATGTTTATTGGGATATACAGGGTGCGATAGATAAATTGTCGTCTAAGTTAAGCCAAAATTAAAATAGCACTGACATCTCATTTTAATAGATATATTTACCAAAATTAGACGAAAATAACGAAAATACTAAAGAGTAAAGTAATTCAATAGAATTGCCATTGGCTTCAACGACGGCCTCCAGAGTCCTCCAGAGTCCTCCAGAGGCCTCCAGAGGACTTCGGAATCTCCTGCTATTCTTCTGGACAGTGTCCTTATTTAAGTTGTTAAATGCTGCCATAATTTTTGCCTTCAGTTCATCTTTGCTGTTAAAAGGAGATTTGTTGATCTCTGCGCCCCACACATAATAATCGAGAGGGATGAAGTCTGCGGAGTTAGGTGGCCAGATGTAAGTAGTGATGTTGTCGCAAAAATTGTCTGACAGCCATGACTGGTTTCACCTGCTTGTGTGGCATGGCGCAGAATCATATTGCCAGACATAGAGTCTTCCAGCGGCCACTTTCTTCACCAAGCACAGGACTACCTCCTCAAGGCATTGATATCGTCCTCCGTTTTGAGTATATCACCGTGGAACGATAAATGGAAGCATAACATCAGCATCACTAGCGATCACTCTAGACACCATCGTAATCACCATTAGACTCATCCAATTCATTCCGAATCCTCAGCGCTGTACACAGATTGTCACCCAAACAATTTGAAACGTTCGTATCGGGGCTTCCAGCGTGAATGCCAAGAGGTACAGGATGTCATTTTCAAATTCCTGGCAGAGTAAATTACATCATGGTGATATATATATATTTTTTTTACATACGGTGCCCAACTGACCCTACTATAGTGTGCAGGTCACAAAATTAAAAAACAAACAACGCGCGTGCGCGAAATTAATTATAAAATGGCGACTATTTTCCCATCGCATCATCTATTTGTTGTTGTCTGCTTGAGGTAGGGTAAGTGTGCGTATTATCCCACTTGTTTACAATTCGGTGGCTTGAATATTCAACTTGTACGGCACAATTTACAGGTATTCAATTCAATGTATATTCTATTGGAAAATTTGTCGTCCAACGTACGGTATTCGCTGTTATATGAGTCTTTATAACTGATCGGAAGTCTGCGAATCGTTAAGTGAGGAATGGTTGTATACATAAGTGTGTTAAAAAAATCCAAGGCAAAACAATAACATAATCTGGAGTTGTTTTAACGACGTCAATAAGTAGAAAAGAAACGCTAAAAGAAAAAACATGTGTCCTCAGAAAAAAAAAAATCAAAAATACTACATAAAACTGACTTAAAAAATTGATATATATGGATGAAAAAAAAAACACTTGTGTAAGATAGACACGTAAAATCTCGCTTACATTTTGCGAATGGTAAATTTTACAAAGATTAAAGCTCTTGGGAAAGTATCTAATAACCGGTCGAAATTAAATTTAAGACATTCAGGCAAAGATTACCATTGCTACAGTAAAGCATAGCGGTAGCAACTTTATGCTATTGTTCGAGGGATCGATTACCTGCTAATGGTACTGGTTCGCTTCACCAAGTTAAACGGATAATCAAAGAATGCTGGCTACGTGTAAGAACCTGGAGGTAAATCAGAAAAATTCGGTGAGACGTTTGAAATTGATCCTCACAACAAAACCATCACCATAAGTAAACATCGAAATAAGTAAAAAGAGAGGATATTGAAGACTTCGATAAAATGTATAATGAGGTGTCAACAAAGAAAACAATACCAAAGAAAACAAAGAAAATAAAGAAAAAAGAAAGAAAGAAAAGAACACTGAGGGGGAAAGGTATTGTGTTGGCCTAGAAAAAGAAAGAACGCTAGAAATGGAAAAGAATACGAAAGAAAAAGAAGTGTCAAAGAAAGAAAAAAAAAAGAAAGAAAAGTAAAGAAAAGAAAGAAAGAAAGAAAGAAAGAAAGAAAGAAAGAAAGAAAGAACACTGAAGAATTGGGGAAAGGTATATTGTGTTGGCCTAGAAAAAGAAAGAACGCTAGAAATGGAAAAGAATACGAAAGAAAAAAGAAGTGTGCTAAAGAAAGAAAGAAAAAGAAAGAAAGTATGTGAAAGAAAGAAAGAAAGAAAGAAAGAAAGAAAGAAAGAAAGAAAGAAAGAAAAAAGAACACTGAAGAATTGGGAAAGGTTTGGGGCCTAGAAAAAAGAAAGAACGCTAGAAATGGAAAAGAATACGAAAGAAAAAAAAAGAAGTGTGCTAAAGAAAAAAAAAGAAAAAAGAAAAGTAGAAAGAAAGAAAGAAAAGAAAGAAAGAAAGAAAAAAGAAAGAAAGAACACTGAAGAATTGGGGAAAGGTAATTGTGTTGGCCTAGAAAAGAAAGAAAAAAATGGAAAAGAATACGAAAGAAAAAAGAAGTGTGCTAAAGAAAGAAAGAAAAAGAAAGAAAGTATGTGAAAGAAAGAAAGAAAGAAAGAAAGAAAGAAAGAAAGAAAAAAGAATAAGAATTGGGGAAAGGTATATTGTTGAGAAAAAGAAAAGAACGCTAGAAATGGAAAAGAATATTGCATTGGAAAGAAAGAAAAGAAAGAAAAGTAACAAAGAAAGAAAGAAAAAGAAAGAAAAAAAAGAAAGAAAACAAAGAAAGAAAAAAAAAAAAAAAGAATAAAAGAAAAAAATTATATTGCATTGGCCTAGAAAAAGAAAGAACACTAGAGACGGAAAAGAATACAACAGAAAGAAATAAAGAAAAAAGAAGTATGCTAAAGAAAGAAAGAAAGAAAGAAAGAAAAGAAAGAAAGAAAAAAAAGAAAGAAAGAACGAAAAAAGAAAGAAATATGCGAAAGAAATAAAGAACCAAAAACAATAGCGAACTGATCGAAAGAAACAATATTGTTTGTAAGAAAATAAATAATACATTATAAAGGAAAGAAAGATAAGTAAAATATTAAAATTTTATTCATCTGACCTAAAGCCGGATGTGACACAAGGTCTTTTTATGTGTGGAGCTCATACGCAGACATATGTGCCAGGGGAAGAAATGCTCAATCTCCCCTGCCACAGTCACTATGGCATTGATATTATTCTGGACCCGCCTCCATTAATGCTATGAGAAAGGTGCTGTTTCGGGGTGTGAATCATAGGACCCAGACAGTTTCCCTTATATAAAATGAAGAGAAGATATACTTCGCTTTGACCCCAGTTCGAAGCAAGCACATACGTAAGAAAGAAAGAATGAAATGTAAATAAATATTTGAGAGGAAAGAAAAAAGGCAATAGTTAAAAGGAAGAAAGAAAGAAAAGAAAGAAAAAAAGAAAGAAAGAAAGAAAGAAAGAAAGAAAGAAGAAAGAATTATTAAAAAGAAAGAAAGAGATTTAAAGAAGAAGGAAACAAAGGGACGTAGAAATACTATCATATTTTAAAACAAAAGAAATAGAAAAGAAAAAAGAAAAACGCGAAGGAAACAACGAGGAAAGATTATTATTATTATTATTATTATTATTATTGTTATTATATGTCAAATTCCGCTGTGGTCACACTATCAATCGTTTCTGCATTTGGTATGTTGCATTTCCTTTTACATTGTTTTCTAGGTTCTTTGATGCTGCAGTAGGTGCAGAGTGGTTCACCTAGTTGAAATTCCATTTTGAATTTGTTGGCTTCCTTGATTACGGAAGAATGTTTTTTATTATTTTATGTTCTTTGACACAGATGATCATCCAATCTTCTGAGGACTGATTATTGTAGTTTTGTAAGATAATTCAAGTTGAACTAATCTACTATCTTCATTTGGATCTGGGCACATACAGCCGATCATCATCGACCATAGGATGATTCAAGCAGTGGCAAGTGGGAAGATTTCTCGTTTTGACATCCATTCGTTTAATGTCAGTATATAAGCCACAAACATTTTAGCTGTCCCTGTGGTGCAATATAGTTCCAACATCCTTAAGTGGATCATAGTCGACATTAATCGAATGAGTAGAACGTCTGCTCATGGAAACGTGGCAAAAAAGTATGTCCCTAATGCGTAGCGCTTTCAGTCGCACTGAACTTCTATATCCTCAATCCACGTTCTCATGTGATTAAATCCTTTTTCACTCAACCCTTTGTTTCCAGTGTTTTCCTCACAGTCTTATTAACCAGAAAATATGAGCGTTATACGAAATTTATTAAAAAAAATCATTTCTGATCGATTGTTTTCCATTCAACTTTGATCTTCAAAAATGTAAATGCAATATCAATCGTTAACTTTTGTTTACTTAATACTCGTTCTTTTATTGTTCTCTCTCCTTCAAAACGTTTTTTTCTTTTTTTTCATATACTTTTAACTCTATAGCTCCTTGCGTATTTGTGGCTTATTACTTTGCTTGGCGTTAAACCATTAAAAAAAACATCGTTATTCTGAAATCACTATGAATTATTTTGTAATATAGAAAATGAATCTGTGACGAGCCATGAATTTCTGAAGAGGCAAGGATATAAACAGCTCGAGGTTATGGAATAAATTATCTGCTTTGTTTTTATTCTTCATTTTTTCTTGTCAAACATTTTTTTTTCTTATTTATTTTTGTCATTTGGATTTTTTTTCGTCATTTTTCGAATTTTCTAGACAGACTTTAGCGAATTCCTGATGATGATAGATTTGTTTTTTGCTTGTTTTTCAGTGTTTATACTGAAGAGCTCGGCCGAATTGTTCTTTCTTTGTTTCTTTGTGTCTTTCTTCATTTCTGACCGCATTTCTTTGAGGCTTTAGTTTTTGCTTGATCAAGTGAAGGATTATCCTGTTTACGCTCGACTCGCAGAGAAGAATCGAAAATCAGATTGGAACAATTCTCTTTGAAGCGAATCAAATCTTTTAGATTCTTTAATTAACAGGTGCAAATATTTCTTCTTCTCTGGGGAATCGTGAACAACAGAAAGGCAAAATAATTTCAGGTGCATTCTGCGGTTAGCCAGTGTTTTGTTTGTTTTATTTTATCAATCTGAACACACACTACCTCTCTTTTATCACTTTCTCCTCGCTCTCTCTCTCTCTCTCTCTCTCTATATATATATATATATATATATATATATATATATATATATATATATATATATATATATATATATATAATTTAGGCATGTCTGATTGAATAAATTACAGATATTATGTCTACTAATTTTTAACAAAATCAGTTCATACTAACGAATAATCTTCCTTGTATTGATGTTAGAGGATGAAAGAAATGTGCTATAGTTGTTTAAACTTCTTTTATTTTAGTTCCCAAGTACTTTCGATCTTCTTCCAAGATCATCTTCAGGGCTGCATATGGCACAAAACTATTTGTTCATTATTACATGTATTTATATAAAGTTGTGCGTTTTTATCCATTACATTTTTTCATTATGCTTTTATAAATGCATACCAATTGACAATGTGATAGATATTCATTAGAGCGTGAAAAGAATTATCCATTATGGAATTTTTTCATGTTATAATATCATGATCATCCGCGCATTAAATCGTGAAAAAAAACTGTTCCTTTACAGGTATTTCAGAATATTTCTGCAGTATTCATAATTAATTTTGTTCAGTGCCGGCTTTAATTTTTTAATATAAATTGTTTCTAGGATCTGTCGTCAGAATTTGTTTTCTTCGTGTAGGATAGTTGTATTGTCGATAAGTAATTGTTTATATTGTGAATGTGCACAGGAATGTCGTTATAGATGTCTTTCACTGGACAAATGGTCAGACATATGTAGTGATTTAAGAACCTTATACCTTTTATATATATATATATATATATATAATTTACATTCAAAGAAATAAAAACTACTACTATGACATTACACTATATTATTGAACTATATGCTCAGCTCATGACATTAACTGAATACACTTGTAAAAATAGAATACGTGGATTTAACACATCACAAGAAATATTTAAATAAAATTCTCACTTAAAATTTTGAAAAACTTAGCGTTGCGTCTTTGCACGTTCCGAGATCTTACACAACCGTCAATAATAGCAGATATTCAAAAAACATCTTTCGGTCGACATACAAGTATTTCGTCTCCAAGTTTTTGATTTTATAAGGAAAAAAACAACACATGCCTGATGATGAATAGAAGACTATTCGTAAGTACTAGCATTTTAAGAACACATAAACTGAAAACAACAGACATCAATTTTATATGCGAGGATCACTTCACTCTATGGATTAACAGTATTTTAATGCATACATTATACTACTAGCGATGAATGTCGCCAATAATCGCATTAATATTTCTGATTGATTATATGTGTGATTATTTCTTTGAATATATATATATATATATATATATATATATATATATATATATATATATATATATATGTTGAACTCTCCTATCGTGAATGATAAATGAGGCTTAGCAGTAGGTGGCGCCTTTCATTTTACACTTATGCATGCTAGCAGGAGCTATTGTGGAGAAAATCAGGTAAGGGAAAGACATTTAATTTGTGCTTTCTTAAGTGCGAAAAACATGAACTCTGTCTTTCCCTTACTTGATTTTCTCCAGAATACGTCTATTCAAATACTGATGTCCACTAAAAATGAATGTTGGATTAATAAATTAAAAAAAAATACATCCACTTTCTTTACGTTAGGATGCAAAACTGAGCAGAGATGTCCATATCAAGAGTGAGAGAGATATCTGTGTTTAAAGGCACTATTCAACTATGCTTGGTCATCGACGCGCTCTGCAGCCGAGAGGTTAAAGAACGTCATATCTATTGAAGTTGTCCCCCTGGCCGAACGAAGAGTGCATCTTTCTCTCTAAGTTTTCTAGAATATTCAGGCCGTAAGCGAAAATAAAAATATACTGTTTAATAAATAAACGGAGCGTCTACTCATATACAATTATACACTAAAAATGACGCTTAAGTAATATATATATATATATATATATATATATATATATATATATATATAGAAGAGAGAGAGGGAAAGAGAGAGAGAGAGATCGTCAGGGAAAGAGGCAAAAGAGAAACAGCATATTTATAGGCGATAATCAAAATCATACCACGTGACCAAAGAAATAGAAAAACAACACAAGAACACCGGGGGTGGGGGGTAAAGATTTATTCAAACGACTAAAAGGGGAGGGGATCTTAAAACACAAACAATAAAGGTGGAATGACAATACAAACGGGGAGATTCGCCCTAATTCAATAACCAAGATTTTCTATGCCTACATATGTTAAGAATCTCGGTTTCGGAGCTTAATAGATCGTTAGGTTCATTATATAAAGCTATGGCTAATTTCTCCTCTGTACATAACTTACAAAATTTTTGGCCTGCTTCATATTTGGGGCATTTTTTTAATATTTCCCATTTTACGTATATATATATATATATATATATATATATATAATAAAATATATATATATAATAAAAAGACTTAAACACTAATATTCCATGGTCATAATTTATTCCATTGGAATCGTAAATACGATCCAATTCATCAGACCTACAAATGCAAAAAGAAAACAGAAAAAACAACTCCGGAAATAAAAAATAATATTTACAGAGAGTGTAAGAATGAGAGTGTGGGGCGAATGTTAGATCTATAGAGATGAGTAACAGACGAAAGAATGTGGAGGATTAAAATTTAACAGAGAGAAGTTTTGGAGAGGGGAGTCAAAGACGGTTTAAGTGAAAGAAATATGAAGGTTGTCGGATGTCTAATACATTAAAGATGTAACGAGAATACATTTTGCATATGTATGTGTATATTTACCAGTAATATTATATATATATATATATATATATAATAGGTTTTCAAGAGTTCTCACGACGGATAAAAAATAGTATTTTTTTAGAAATTTAAAATATATATGTATTCTTTTAATTGAAAGATAAAGTTATTTATGAAAGTGTCATCGAACCTTCCAAAAGGTAAACAAACCAGTAAAAAACAGACAATTTCGTTAGAAAAAAATAGGGCTGCACATCTATGTAATATCAATCATCCTATATGACACTGAATGCTGAACAATTCCCTCATAGATTGTAGGATGCTGAAAATAACACGGATAATATATGTGATCAACGATTAAGTTTTTAGGATACTATACAATCATTTCACCCCAAGATAAGTGGAAATGCAACTAGTACGCAAGTGTTTACAGGAAGTGAAAGTGAAAGTGAAAGTGAAAGAAGAGACTGAATATAGGAAGGATTGAGGAAAGGACAAAAGATGAACGAGATTCAAGAAGACAGAAGATGGCGATTGACGTTGAATTTAACTTTTTGACAGTGTAAAAGGAAAGGAGTTTCACAGGCAGAAATTGTCAGAAAAGAAACTGTTAAAGTAGAAGTGGCGGTCGCATTTAGCTATTTCACCAGTAAAAGGGTGGGGCCTAGATGCCAATCTAGTAGCATGCTTAAATCAATGTAATCAGGACACCAGAGAACAAAAACTTCAAAGAGCCGTTGCCATGAAAATATTTGTAGAAAAGACAGAGGGAAAGCAGGGTTACGTCGGTGAGAAAGTGACTGAAGTCGTCATGGCAGGTCAGGATCTATTACATTAGAGATCCATATTTGGATTCGGTCAAGATTCACGACATGTACACCAGAATGGCAATAGTATTTAATGCACGGGCGAATTATAGATTTATAAATGTGAAAGATGGATTCGGACGAGAAAGATGAACTGTTATTTTTAGACGTGTTACCTGTAAGTTAGTTCTAAAGTATATACACAAATATTTAAAAAAAATTAAATCATAAAATTAATCCATTGTTTTATATATATATATATATATATATATATGTGTGTGTGTGTGTGTGTGTGTGTGTGATTATTTCATTGAATCTTAAAATTATATTTCCCAACCGGAAGTAATGGTAACACGTCTAAAAAATGACAGTTCATTGAGAGAAGTAAGAATAATATACACACCCCAAAACCTCTAAAGTATATTTTTCAATTTTCTGCTTTAGCTTCGACCTGTCTTTTGATTGGTCAAACATGGCATACCCATAAAATATGGAGATCTCGTTCCCCTCCTTCTTAAACTCTTCAATAAAATACCATTCGGTTTTAAAAAGTAATTCATTTTCGTCAAAAATACCTAACATCGCTCGACAATGGAACAAATTTAATATATATATTAGTCTTTCTACGTTTTAGTCATTCTACTCGCTTGTTTTTTTTTTCTTCTTTGGACTAAAGATTTAAGGCACTGGACGATTTATTTCGCCCTGTTCGCATGATTTATATATATATATATATATATATATATATATATATATATATATGAAGTTATGAAGAACTTGGTAATCCTTATGGGTAATCCCAAGGAGGATGCAATGTGTTAATAAATATAGTATTTAACTTATATTAAATCCTAAATTATTTGTAAAAGTTAAATATTTAAATTGATAGCAAGCATCATATTAATTTCTTCGTTTTTTTAGACATCTAAATTACTATCAAGCATTAAAATCTATTCTTTACATAAATTGCTAAAACCCAATTACAGCCTATTTCTCTTTACTCCCTTATCCCTCTTCTTTCTTTTTCCTTTTTCCTTTTTCTTTTCTCTCTTCTCTCCTTCCATTTCAATATATCACTTCCGTTATGTTAACCGTCTAAATAGGTCATGGTCTGGTCACTCCTCCTCCCCCAATATTAAGTCCGATTGAGAGAGATATGAAATTAATCCCTGCCTAAACTCTACCATGTCTCTTTAACTACCCCATTTACACTCTCTGTTAAATTACCAAAACTTACACTACCCATCAATTTTAATTTCATTTTTCGTTTCATTTCATTTTTGGAAGTGCTATCTGATGATCCGGCGTCCTTTAAAAGGGCTCTGGTGAAATAAATTATTATGATAGTACCTTAAAGTGGACTGTTTTTCTTTAATATAGATAGATAGATAGATAGATAGATAGATAGATAGATAGATAAAATTAGTGGTAAATATACACATACATATGCAAAATATATAAATATATATACATACATACATACACATACATACATATTTGTATAGAAAAAATAATTCCAAGAGGATAGAATCCAGGAAAAACTCAATGTCCAGGACAGAGTAAGGATATAATAAAAAGGCTTAAACTCTAATATTCCATGGTCATAATTTATTCCATCGTAAATACGATCCAATTCATCAGACCTACAATTCAAAAAGAAAACAGAAAAAACTCCAGGAATAAAAAATGAAATTTAGTGAGAGTGTATGTATGAGAGTGTGAGACGAATGTTAGATCTATAGAGATGAGTAACAGACGAGAGAAGAGCACAAAGGTCTAAAGATGAAGGTGGTGGATTAAAATTTAACAGAGAGGAGTTTTAAAGAGTGGAGTCAAAGGCGGTTTAAGTGAGAGAAATATGAATGTTATCGGATGTCTTATACATTAAAGATGTAATCGGAAAGGATACATTTTGTGATGATATGTACTCACAAGAGACAATCTAATCTTAAAGATCAGAAGAAGTGGGAGGGAGGAGGAAAAGAAAAGAAGAGAAAAAAGGGTGGGGGAAGAGATGGGGAGGGGGAAACTAAAACCGAAGGTCATTTATAAAAGGGCCGCTGTGAAAATAAGAAAATTTGATAAAATTAATATCGACTACACGTTACAAATCAAATATAAATATATAAAAAACAAATATAACGATTATCTAATCTAGAAAGGACCTATATTTCTATGTTCAAAAACACATGCGTATACACACATACACAACAACATACTTACATTTACACGTACATACATACATATAGGCGTGTACGCAGATACACATACATATACCCATGTACATATATATATATATATATATATTCTTATACATATACATATATATATATACACACACATACATACACATACACACACATACATATATATATATGTATACATACATACATAAACACACACAGACACACATACATACATATACACATACATCCATACACATCCACTCCTACATATATATACATATTTACACACATATATACATACGGACATACACACGCGTGGACATAAAACTATATACATAAAACCTTACATCTCCATACAATTACATACACCCATCTAAACAAATAAACAATGTATCCCTATATCTATCCGTCTAACTATACATACATACATACATGCATACATATACATCCATGTACAGATATATATGAATACATACATACCAAAACATACAAACACACATATAAACACATCTACATATACATACATCCATATACGCATACATATATATATATATATATATATACGCATATATATATATATATATATATATATATATATATACATACACAGCATATACATATAAATATATACACTCCTAAATATATATACATATACACACATACACACATGTACGCACATATACATATCCATATGAATCAAAATTTAAAATTTAAAAAGTAAAATTTAAAAAATAAATAAATAGCGAATCACATAAACATACACAAAAATATATATAGATTAAAAAAATAGTCATTCCATTAAAATGTCATGCACGATGTTATTGAACTTAGATGGAACTGGCATGAGGAAAACATGTTATATATATATATATATATATATATATATATATATATATATATATATATATATATTTATATTTATTTATTTAATTGTATATTTATTTTTTTTTCCGTCTACCGGCCTGAATATTTGAGAATTCTTATTAGAAAAATATTCGAACACCATTTCACAGCAAATCTGCCAATTCAGGCCACCCTATACCCTTGAAGTAAACTACCCTTTTCCAGAGCGTAGTTAATCAATTTCGCCGTACCTCACTTTCGACATTGAGCGAATCACGGGAAACTATATATTCTAGCTTGACTTTCCTTGCCTATAATTTTCCCCAAGTGCAGACGGCGTGATAACAACGGTAATCAAAATGGCGGTGCTTAACGAGGCCTAATTTGCTTAAATCGCGCACTGCGCATTTATCAAAAGAAACCCCGTGATTCTTTATGATCTACGTGGCAGTCTTCTTAGAAGTAAACTTCTGAAACATTTTTTTTTTTATTGCTAAGAACTCCGAGAACTTAAGAGACAATTTATTTTTGACAATCATTTTATTTTGGTTTCTATATTCTCTTTCTAGTAAAATATTTTCTGCTAATTTTATAATTCAAAAATATCTAAAAATGTATGGAAATCACTTAACTTTTTTTAGCTTTGTTAGCTAGCCATGTGAGCAACGACGAAGTTTTAGAGGAAGCGCAAACGAAAAGGAAAAGTGCTTCAAATCAGGTAGAGACAATTAAATTCCTACAGTACCTAATAAGGAAAGCCAAAAATGCATTCCAAATGGTAAGCAGAGTTTTTTTTTTTGAAACAGTATTTAATTAGAAAAAAATTAAATGGTACTGAACTGTTACGTGATAGTACTCATCTTACATGGCAGGGAATGCTGGACAGTCTCCTCAAAGATGAAGAAAAGATTTGAATCAATAGAAATGTGTTTCTACAGAAGCATGATGAGGATACATCGGACCGAACATGTGAGTAACGACGAAGTTTTAAAGAAAATGGTAACGAAAAAGAAAATTTTACTTAACATCAGGAAGAAACAGTTGAGTTTTTAAGGGTACATATTGAGAAAAGATGGGTTGGAAAATCTGATATTCACAGGCCTGATTGAAACAAGAGATACAGAAATACAACGCATAACCTACTCATGTATATTGAAACAAGTTTTAGGGGAAATAACAAAAAGCTACGAAGCTACGAAGGATAGGAAAGTGGGGAGAGCCATGATCGACTACTTCCTAAAGTGATGCAACACATAGACATGTTAGCCATGAACCTTTCGTTTGCTTAGTTGGCGTTAACTCAGAAATATATTTTAGAAGCCCAAACAGCGCATGCGTGAACAACATACTCCTTTAATGCTTTTCAGTCAGAACTTAGAAGGTAATGAGTAATCTTGTGTATATACTGTCTATCATATATGAAAATTCGAGTCATGTTTTTAAATAGACTCGTCAGGTCGAGATTTTTATATGAATATCCCGAATGGCGCCAAACCCGATCAGAAATATTTAAATTGTTAGGTATATATAACCACTTTCTAAGATTAATGTTTAAAAAAAGCCTTGAGCGGATTAACCCTGTAGGTCTTAGAGAGATTCATTTTTCCTCGGATCTTGTGAAATGGCGCTACAGAATCACAAACAAAGAACTGTGCACATGGATAGTTGAAAAGAAAATAATGACCTAAGAAAGATGTTGTTGATTCACACTAATTCAAATAAAAGGTTAGAAAGGAAACTTCCATCACTACTAGAAAGATCGATAACAGGTACTGTACTTGAGAAATTTATTTCCTTGAAAAATTGTTTTATTAAAAATATTTCATAAAGTTCAACAGTGCTGGCTGCTCAGTCAATGAATACCAAATGTTTACTTATAGGGAAACGAAAAATATTACAATTACCATATTCACAGCGAAATATGCATGAAGTTTTGCTTGAAGCATTCTTCCGCGAAAACTATTCGAATGATTCTGAAAGCTTTCAGGGGTAAGTCCAAAGGAAATCTTAGCAAATCATGCCTGGTTATCCGTTGAAAGCAATCAACGTTCTGTAAGGCCCTCGAAAGCCGAACAAAAGAAAGAAATAATGCGTATTACAAAAGAAATTGGCTGATTTACGAGACGAGAAAACCTGAAAGTTTCCACGTATTGTCTGGAAACTATTCAGTCATATTGAATATTAACAACCTCTGTTATTCAGGGCCTTTTTGTAAAACATCGCATTACTAAGGGTTGTAGGCCCTTAACTCAATGGCCTCGAATTGGGCTCGCTTGGCTTTTTTTCCCCCAAGGCTAAAAGAACAATGGAATTGAATATTACAATCAGAGACACAGGCCAACAGACATACGGAGACTAGTTGGGAAGAGTTCAGCTATTTTGAATATTTCAGAAACCGAATGTGTCGCCTTGATGTAAATTAGCAACCAGTCTAAGAAAACTTTAAATCTATATTATTTTAATGTTAAGATATGGAGACACACTCTCCCGTGGTGTTGCTCTCCCGTGGTGTTGTTGCAAATACACAAGTGCACAAAACGTAGAAAGGAAATTGAAAAGAAAGAAAGAAAGAAAGAAAGAAAAAAAGAAAGAAAAGAAAAAATAATACTGGAAAGAAAGAAAGAAAAATAATACTGGAAAGAAAAGAAAGAAAAAAGAAAAGAAAAAAAAAAATACTGAAAAGAAAGAAAAAAGAAAAGAAAAGAAAGAAAGAAAAGAAAGAAAGAAAAATAATACTGGAAAGAAAGAAAGAAAAATAATACAAAAAAGAAAAAAGAAAGAAAGAAAAATAATACTGAAAAGAAAGAAAGAAAAGAAAGAAAAAAGAAAGAAAGAAAGAAAGAAAAAAAAAAAAAAAAAAAAAGAAAGAAAAAAAATAATACTGGAAAGAAAGAAAAGAAAAGAAAGAAAAAAAAAATAATACTGAAAAAGAAAGAAAAGAAGAAAGAAAGAAAGAAAGAAAGAAAGAAAGAAAGAAAAAAAAAGAAAGACAAATACGGTTTTGTTTTGTTTGTTTTTTGGGGGGGTTAAAGCATTTATTTAATACTGACAAGATATTTCGGATAGGTCCGTATGAATAGAATATGTATTATTTCTAAGAAATCATTCTGTAGATCAGGATTTATTGACGTATTTTTGTAAAATGGGTTTTGTCGAATGTATTACTGGTAATTTTTATTTTTCAAAAATGTTTTGCTGGTATTTTTAATATAAAACTCTATTATTATGCTTTTATAATGTTTTAACCGCTGTTTAGGGGTTAACCATTTGCCTATAGCTGGGAGTCGAACAGGTGCTCACACACCGTTTTAATGTGAACCTGGGAACAACAGCAATTAAGATGTGGTTTCACGCTCCTAAAAACCTCCCGAACAGAAGCCTTGTCGGATGTAGTTTATCGTCACGCCCAGAACGGAACAGATACGAATAGATAAGTACATAACAAGACAAAAGTAAGATATAAATGAATTCACGATGGAGAATAGAATTGATATTAATCGCTCGGGCTCCATGCCACGTCTAACACTCTAGTTTTCTCCCTAGCTCTGTCTGTATGCACGTATGTGTACTCTCTCTCTCTCTCTCTCTCTCTCTATCTCTATATATATATATATATATATATATATATATATATATATATATATATTATGTGTGATAGGTTATAGAATCCGAACAATAGTGACGAAATGAGAGAAAGTGGCAAATCTTTTATCGATAACACGTTTCGTCTTTGTTATTTCGTTAGCTGGGCGTGTTCAGCTAAAAATGAAAAACAATCTTGTGTGTGTGTTTGTGTTTTATTTTTATTTTTTTTATAAAAACTGTTAATATCAGTTTCCTAGGTTGACATCTTCTGGACAACAGACATTCACGGTTTTAATAAAAAAAAAAAATAAAATAAAACAAATAAAACGCATCGATTTGTCTTATATTCTGTCCTGAAGATACCCTCGTAACTACAGAACCAACTCGAAACACGTTGTCAATAAAAAAGCTCTCTCTCTCTCTCTCTCTCTATATATATATATATATATATATATATATATATATATATATATATATATAAATATATACAGAAATTCATTCATTCCTGTAGCACACTGCTACTAACAAGCAAGGATTTTTTTTTCTTTGGATGATAGGCATGCCAAAAGTAGTCGAGGAACCTAATTCAAGTAACAAAAACAAAATTATATTAATAGACCACTCAGTGTGTCTGAATTTTTATTTTATTTTAAGTTTTTAATATTTTTATTGTTCAAATTGTTTTCATATGAGACGATCTTGACACCATTTGTCGTAAGAATCACTGAAATAAACATTGATTCACTGAAAAGAAAAACCTTTGAGTTATTCAGCTAAAAAGAAAGATAGTTAAATTGTTTTGTGTCAGACCCACTCTCTTCGCAAATGAGCAACGGTGAAAGAAGAAAAAAAAGATCACTCAGGCCTTCAGTAATGGTACCAATATCCATAGTCAGGCTCCCATCTTCAAAGCTCATTCAAGAACCATCAAGAGAACGGTGAATATGTTTAAAAATGAGGGAACAGTAGAGAGGAAAACTGAATCAGTAATTCACAAAAAGAAGAGGGATCATCATTTCAACTTAATGGTAATGAGATCAATTAGAAAAGATCCAAGTCAGTCCATAAGATGTTTGGCATGTGAGAGATGAGTTTCAGTTATGAGAGGCCAAATAGCAGTGAAAAACTTGAGAATGAAATCGTACGAGAAAGCTCTGAGGTACCTTGTTACTCTAAGACAGAAGTTTAGAAGGTTAGAGGGGGAAGATCATCTTAAATACATTCGCAAAGGATCATGGAATAATTTATATGTATATTTGAACGTTATTTCAATACTTAATGGCCTTTCGAATCTTAGCTATGATTAATTAATGATGAACATGTTATTTTTGTTCATAATCGATTTCATCACGATTCTTCTGTTAATCTTGGTGAGCAATGATACATTCTTATTGCTCAAAGTAGAGTCCAATAGGGTTGTAAAAATGTCTGAGAATTCCAGTAAGATATCTTTAATCATTTCTAAGATACAACGCTTTAAATTTTAATCTAACAAATGGACAACTTTGCTTCTACACGATTTAGACAATTTTGCTGTTACACCTCGTATGTACATTTGGACAACAAATTTTGTTTAAAAAAAGTTGCTTTGAATATGAAAAACAAGAAGTTGATGAATCGTTAATGACATTTTGCTAGTATTCTTCACTTTTTGTCCGGTTTCTTCGCAGTAAGGAAGTGTAAAATAAAATGTAGTCTCTATTGCCCTGAGGAATTTCAGACAAATCTTTAGCCATTTTCAAGGAGTTTCTTGTCAATTGTTATCATTTATTTTAAAGGTTGTCACTTAAGTTGTTTTTTTGATAGGTACTGTATGTTTGTAGCGATTATACTGAGCTCTACGATGTATACATATATATATATATATATATATATATATATATATATATATATATATATATATGTGTGTGTGTGTGTGTGTGTGTGTGTGTATATATATATATATATATATATATATATATAGAGAGAGATAATATTAGTGGTAAATATACACATACATATGTATTCATGAATACGTTTTCACAGCATCGCCCACGTGACGACAACGTGATCATATTTAAACGGAACGCTGATCTTATATAAAAATTTCAGTTATCTGTTTGGATTAGTTGTGCTCTTATGTCCATCGTCTTTTCGTGTTGAATTTTTATATGTTCTAATGTTAATTATGTTTAAATGAAAATGTCCATGAAGATGGTCTTAAATAGACCGAAACGTCCGACGTCGACTTTATATTAACATTAATACAGCATAATTGCATATTAAGATTTTTGTTTGTTTTTTTCTGTATATTTTTCTTCATATGCATTCATATATCTAAAATATATAAATATATATACATACGTACATACATACACATACATATATATATTTGTATAAAAAATAAATCCAAGAGGATAGAATCCAGGTAGAACTCAGTGTCCGGGACAGAGTAAGGATATAAAATAATAAAAATGCTTAAACACTAATATTCCATGGAATATTAGTGTTTAAGCCTTTTATATATTAAAGGGCCAAACTGAATTTTTTCATGTTTTTGTTTAACACGTTACAATATACAGTCCAATATGGAAAAAGATACTTTATTTATTTATATATATATATATATATATATATATATATATATATATATATATATATATATATATATATATATATATATATATAGATATATATATATATTGTGGTAGAGGGTGTTTGTCGATGGCTGGTCTAAAGAGTCACTTGATAGCGCACCGAAGGTAGGTGGCAATTGATTATAAAAACGAAGACATCCAGCAATTGGAATTTGATATTAACGGTAAGACATGCGAGTCCAGTAGCGGTTTCATGCGACATTTTAAATTGTATGATAATGTACCACCCATTGTTGGACCTTTTAAGCGCCCTGTTTGTACCAGAATATGTAGGTCCCTTGCTGGGCTAAAAAGCCACATTCGTTCAGCACATCATTAGATATCCTCCAAAAAGCTATGAAGTAATGTCCGTACTCGGACACGAGTTGGCATACACCATATATATATTGAGAGAAAGAGAGATGGAGGGGTGGAGAGAGATAAAAAGAGAGAGAATGAGAAAGAGAGAGAGAAAGAGAGAGAGAAAGAGAGAGAGAGAATAACGAAAGGACATTGTTTTGCATATGTGATATTTATCGTTTTCCAATGAATTTGTAACACTCAGATTATTGCAAATATTTCTCAAAAACATTTTCTTCATATTATTTTTGCTTTTTATTATTTTTAACATTATTATTATTATTATTATTATTATTATTATGTAATATCCAAAATTTCTATCCAATTCATTAAAAAAGTCATTACTTTTTTACACTCATTTTTATTTTATTAAATGCATAAATTTGCCATTCATTTTGACCTGAAGACGCCTACCTAACTAACTAACGAACACGAAATGCGTCGTAATTTTTTTTTTAAAAAACTAAGAAGCTTAACATATATACATATATATATATGGAGAGAGAAAATTACGAAATGACATCGCCGCGTATATGTGATTTTTATCGTTTTCCAATGAATTTGAAACACTCAGATTATTGCAAATATTTCTCAAAAAACAATTTTTTGGGTCTTTTCGAAATTTTATTTTAGCTTATCATTATTATTTTTTTAATATCCAATATTTCTATGTCAATTCATTCAAACAGTAGTTAGTTTTTTTTTTTTTTTTTTTGCATTCGAATGTGAAAGCTAATTAGAATTCCTGCAGGCAACTCATAAAAGAAATTCGCCATCTTATTTCTATTTTAACAAATATTTTCCAGCTATACATTCGAAATATTATTCACCCACACACAGGCACACACATACACACCGACGCCCATATATATATATATATATATATATATATATATATATATATATATATATATATATATATATAAATATATATATGTGTGTGTGTGTGTGTGTGTTTTTTATCTGATATATATATATATATATATATATATATATATATATATGTGTGTGTGTGTGTGTGTGTGTGTGTTTTTATCTGATATATATATATATATATATATATATATATATATATTTATGTATGTATATTGAAGCATCATTATGAAGGCGGGTTTCGTTACTATTTATTTTGTCTTTCGCTGTGTTCTTTTACACAGCAAGTAATGTTTTTTTCAAGGCTAGCCAAAATTGTAGATTAGAGACCCTACGATGAATTGGATGGCGGGGTCGGTGAGCTGGTATGTACTGTAATTGAAGGCAAGATTAGTGGCGCTGACCAAACATGTCAGAAGATCTAAAGCCGAGGGCAATAATCAATATGTGATTATGCTAATGACAAGAACGAAAGAAAGAAAGAAAGAAAGAAAGAAAGAAAGAAAGAAAGAAGACAATAATAGAAAAAAAAAGAAAGAAAGACAGAAAATATTAAAAATAACGCAAGAACGCATTCCACACATCCAATCAATGATCTTATTTCTTCAGAGCAGAGATTAAAAAGTTTCCAATCCACAAAGACATTATCATATACTTGTTATATAAACATATATATTGTTGTAGAACTGAAGGATTTATTCTTAATTCGAACATTTTTTAATACTTTAAACCCCAGGTATAAATAGACGCGCCCTTTCTTTTTAGCCTTGCGTTAGTCACATAGAGTTTTTTTTTTTACCCCAGAATGTTTAAAGTAGACATAATTTCTCGTTGGCAGCTTGTTAAATATGCTCCTTCCAATTAATTACTCTACAGACTCAGTTGGGTGTGTAGCGCGCGGAGTGTCACAATTGTATCTCAGTTGTCGTGAGAGTCAGAGTTTGTGTTGTCTTGCTCGCTGTGTTCCCACATGCTTAACGAAAGTAAATTTTCATGGTATATATAATTTTTTTTTCTGTTTTCTGTGCATATTTAGTTATTACGCATCTGTCTACAGTTAATTATATGAAAAGTTGTTAATACAATAAATAAAAAAATTGTATGTCTACTTGTTCCCCCACTACATACATACATACATACATACATACATACATACACACACACACATATATATATATATATATGTAAGCAAATATATGGATATAGATCCGACAGTATGAAGAAAAATATATACGGAAAAAACAAACAAAAATCCTTATATACAATTATGCTGTTTTAATGTTAATATGTCAACGTTTTAATGTTAATATGTCAACGTCTTTGTCATGTTGTATTGATAATGTTATAATTTATGAATATGTCTTGAAGATGGTTTTATTAGACCGAAACGTCCGACGTCTTTGTCATGTTGTATTGATAATGTTATAATTCATGAATATGCCCTGAAGATGGTTTATTAGACCGAAACATCCGACGTTGACATATTAACATTAAAACAGCATAATTGTATATGAGGATTTTTGTTTGTTTTTTCCGTATATATTTTTTTTCATATATATATATATAAAGAAATGGACAAAGTCCGACAATTTATTTTATTAAAGACATTTTTATGTTTAACGTTCTTTTTTTATAGATACAAGTATTTAAGTAAATGCTCTGTTTATAATAAACAGTATTAAATAACATTTACCGCCCTGAATGTCCGAGAAATTTTCATAGAAAATATTCGTCCTTTGACAGGATTCGAACCTGCATCCTATACGGAACTGTCATTTACAAAGGAGCGTTCGGTAGACAAGGTCGAATTTACTGCTTATAAACTTCAATCTTCCATGAATCTCGTACATTCATAACTGCTCTGGCGTATCAAATGTAAACAAATGACGTCATATATTAAGAAATGGACAAAGTCCGACAATTTATTTATTAAAGATATTTTTTTTTATGTTTAACGTTCTTTTTTATAGATACAAGTATTTAAGTAAATGCTCTGTTTATAATAAACGGTATTAAATAACATTTACCTGAATGTCCTAGAAATTTTCATAGAAAATATTCGTCCTTTGACAGGATTCGAACCTGCATCCTATACGGAACCGTCATTTACGCTGACGTGCCTTGACCGCTCGGCCACAAAGGATCGTTCGCTTGTCAAGGGACGAATATCACAGTATGAGAACGCAGAAAAATCTCAGTGATCTCTCTTGGATTGTTGAGTAAGAATATTAACAAAACATATATTTTAACCAATGATATCTTCTTTTTTTTATCGGTATCAACCCATGCAAGGCAGTAAAGTCACTAAATCACAAACAGTAACAGGGTATAAAATAATTAGGAACAGAAACATTAATAATGATCGGGAAGAAAAAACAGTAATTAGTATGACCGTAGATAGCGATTTACATCGCATTTAAATTTTTGCAGATTAATGTGGCCTGGAAACGGAAGGGAGTTCCACAAGCGAGGTATGCGTGAAAAGAACCTCTTAACATGTTAGAAATGACTTTTACTTTCAGGCCCAGATTAGAGCCTATTAGTTTCTATAAATTTTGATAACTGGTTTGAGTTATCCAGCATTCCTCCATTTCGCAATTTTACCAAATATTTTTTTTTGACATTTTCAATTCTATGTCGTACCTAATCCAATTTTTTTTTTCTAAGTGTTGTTTGAAATAAATACACAAGAATGCATTTGGAGCACAATTCTATAAAAGTATAAAAATAGATTTATATATTAAAAATACCAGCAATACATTTCTTGGAAAAATACCTCCAATACATTCTCGACAAAAAAAAAAAAAAAGCACTTTACAAAAATATGTCAATGAAACCTGATCTACCAACTGATTTCTTATAAAGGATACATATTATATTCATACGAACCTATACAAAAATCTTGTCGGCATTTAAATAATTCATTGAGGTGTTGATATGCCGTAAATCAAAATAAACCAAACAATACCATCCTGGGTATAACGTTAAACTACATCCGCGTGCTGGGTAAGACGATAAACTACGCTCAGCAGCAATGCCTCTGATCAGGAGGTTTTGAGGAGCGTGGAATCACCTCTTAACTGCTGGTGTTCCCAGGTCCACCCTGACCCGGGGTGGTAGCACCTGCTAGGGTCGCAGCTATGGGCAAATAGTTAACTCCCAAACTTGTGTAAAAAAAAAGGTTTTAATACCAGAAATACTGTGTAATATAAAAATTATTACCAGCAATAATTTTTGAAGGAAAAATTATTATCAGCAATACTTTAAAAAATACCAGTAATACAAACAGTTATAGATAGATTCTTTGAAAAAATAGGACCAGCTATAGATTTCTTCAAGGAAAAATATTCTCAGAAATAGTTTTTTGAAAAAAACATATTACCAGAAATATAAATTTTGTTGGCATTAAATAACCTATTGAGGTTGATATGTCGTAAAACAAAACAAACCAAACAATTATGCATAATCTTCAGCCGAACTTAACTATACACTTGCTGCTACTGATACAGAAACTTATAAACGGTCAGTATAATATTGCGTATTAAAAATTTACATAAACAAAAGAAAGGACCTCTATGAACTCACAAAGATACACCAATTAAAAAAACAATTTGACATTTAGATTTACAAAAAAATAACGCTATTTTCCTGTTTGATTTCGATATTTTTTAAGCATACAGTTTTCTTAATGGACTTTTTAATTTGATTAGAATGATTCGTTTTATTACGATTTATCATTCGTTTGCAGGTTCTTTAAATCCATGAAATATTTTAGATTGTAAGAATTTTTTTAATTACTTTTCCCAAGTCTATTTCCCCGTTCGTGAATATAATGAACCCGACTAGAATCGGAACTCGACACACCGATTAACAATTCCGAACTACTATCCATTACAACACGCGCACATTAGGCGAGAAGTTATGAGAGATGCAAGCCTAACTTCAAATCAAATACAAGCGAATACAGCTGCTGAATGTCGCTCTCGAACATGTCGACGGCATTTAAATAAGAAAGGGTTTAAAAATTTGAAATGGCTGCAGAGGCGTCACCTTTTTCTTCGCCATAAAACCTCCCGTTTACAATTTGCTTCCGATTATCAAACTTGGAATGTGAATAAATGGATGAAAGTGTTGTTTTGAGACGAGAAAAAAAAATTCAATTTTGATGGCTCAACGGTTTTCGGTGTTACTGGCATGCAAAAGATGTCCGAAAAGAAATTTTGTCAACACGACACAAGTGGATCAATTATGGTATGGGGTTCATTTTCGTACAATGGAACT